TATCCATCCAGACCTGAAGTCACAGTCCTGGACCAGATCAATCTTCGAATTCCTCCCAGGAAACACACTGCCATAGTTGGGTTTTCTGGAAGTGGAAAATCCACCATTGCGGGACTACTTACAAGATTGTATGATCCTACTCAGGGTCAAGTCTTGTTCGACGGTCATAATCTCCGGGATCTGAATCTCCACGACCTCAGAAGCTTCCTCAGCCTCGTGCAGCAAGACCCCTCGCTCCTTGACCGTTCCATATTGGAGAACATTGCCCATGGCTTGATCAATTCGAGCCATCCCAGTCACACACATCTGAAGGCAACACTCCTTGGCCCAGACCTTGCAAATCTCGCCCGCCAAGTCAGGGAGGGCCAGGACTTGAACGCTGCAGCAGAGAAACTGGGTTCAAATGTCGTCGAGATTATTTCCTTAGTCCGAAAGGCCGCAGAACTCGCCGACGCGGATTCTTTCATCGTTGCGTTGCAACACGGATACGGCACCGTGGTGGGATCGAGTGGGCGGCTGATTAGTGGTGGCCAGAAGCAACGGGTTGCTCTTGCCAGGGCTCTTGTTAAAGATCCCGCGGTTCTTATCTTGGATGAGGCCACGGCCTCCCTGGACTCAAGAAGCGAGCAGCGCATCCAGCGGGCCATATCTGGCATTGCCAGTGGCAGGACTATGATCACGATTGCTCACCGACTTTCGACTATCACTGGTGCCGACAATATAATAGTCATGCAGAAGGGGCGCATCCTTGAAGAAGGGTCTCATTCAACACTGATGGCAAAGAACGGCGCGTACGCCGACCTAGTGAGATTGCAGACTCTCGGATCCACATCTGAGAAGAACGTGACAGCAGATAGCACCCGCCAATCAGACCATGGCTCCTCAAAAAAGGGTGCTACCGGAGAAAGTACATTGTCGATTGACGGGATCGGCACCGTTGAGAAGACTGAAATTTCGGCAAGCCAAGATGAAGTAAATGAATCGGTGGAAGAGCAGGAAGAGCCCGAGACCCCATCAAAATCGCTGTGGTCTTTGTTGCGAGGGTTTGCACCAGTCTTGAGACCACATCTGCTAATCATCATTATCTCGCTTTTCGCCTCGAGCGTTGTTGGCGGATCATTCTCTGCGGAGGCCGTGATCTTTGGAAACACTGTCGGCAGCTTGAGTCCTTGCCAAAGCGAGTCCTACATTCGTTCTCGGGGCAGCTTCCTCGGTCTGATGTTTTTCATTCTCGCAATCATCGAGTTCTTTGCGAATGTGACCAGTTGGACGGGGTTCGGCTGGGTTGCTGAGAAAACGGTCAGGAGCGTGAGAGTCTTATCCTTCCGATCATTATTTGGGCAAGATCTTCAGTGGCATCAGTCTGAAGGGCGGACCCCCGCCTTACTGCTCTCTTACATTACCAGAGACGGTAATGCGCTCAGTGGCTTGAGCGGCTCCGTCATCGGCACGTTGTTCTCAATCACTGTCAACCTCATTGTCGCAATTGTTTTGACTCATATTATTGCTTGGAGAATAGCACTGGTCTGCCTCTCTCTGGTGCCGCTCCTTCTTGGAGCTGGTCTTATGGAGCTCCGAGTACTCGCGAGATTTGAAGAACGGCACGAAAACGCATATACCAAATCGGTAGACATTGGCGTGGAGGCAATCACATCCATCAAGACGATCGCGTCCCTTTCACTTGAAGAAGAGACGCTGGGGACTTACCGACGATCACTAAAAGGTCCCCGCAAGGAGACGCTCAAAGTGAGCCTACACGCAAGTCTCTGGCAGGCAATGACCTATCTGCTCGGTAACCTGGTGAATGCGTTAGCTTATTGGTGGGGCTCCAAACAGATTATTGCGGGCAATTACACCCAGACACAGTTCATGATTGTGGTATTCTCCCTCCTAGTCAGCGCACTGCTCTGGAGCCAGATGTTTGCGCTCGCCCCAGAGCTCACGAGCGCGCGAGCTGCGGTGGCAAGGCTCTTGGGTCTCATTGAGATAGGGCCGGATAGGATGCAAGGGCGTGTGAAGGGAAAACCATCTCTGAATCTATGTTTCGAGGATAAAGACCTGGAGAAAACGGCCGAAGCAAAACCGACTCTTCCGCCCAGCAACCAGGGCTCGAGCGTCCAGCTCTGCGACGTCCACTTCGCATACCCAAGTCGACCGGAGGTTGAAGTCTTGAAGGGACTGAACGTCGACATTCGACCGGGAACACTCTGTGCCCTAGTCGGTCCCAGTGGCGCTGGTAAATCGACCATCATCTCGCTCGTCGAAAGACTGTATACCCCTCGATCCGGATCCGTCATCGTCGACGGGCTTGACGTGACAAAGACTCGCGACGTCTCCTTCCGCGACACTATCGCTCTGGTGCCACAAGAAAGTGTCCTCTTCGAGGGAACCATTGAATTCAACATCGGCCTTGGTGCTCGTCCGGACCATGAAGCCAGCATGGACGAGATTCAAGAGGCCTGCAAGCTAGCCAACATCCACGACACCATCCAATCTCTGCCCAACGGCTACCAAACGCTATGTGGACCGAACGGCAATCAATTCTCGGGAGGGCAGAAGCAAAGGCTGTCGATCGCGCGAGCACTGGTGCGCAAGCCCAAGTTGCTGATCCTGGACGAACCCACCAGTGCTTTAGACGCCGAGTCGGAGAAGCTTCTACAAGATGGGCTTGAGAAGGCCTCGAGGGGTATCACGGTGATTGCTATTGCGCACCGACTGCACACGATAAGGAAGGCGGATGTGATCTTCTTGATTGAAGGAGGCCAATGCGTTGATCGTGGAACGCATGAGGAATTGCTTCAGAGGTCGGAGAGTTATAGGTTGAACGTTATGCATCAGACGCTGGCTGAGTAGCAAGAAGATGAAGCCTAGGAGGGAAGACTGGTAAAAATGACTAGAAATTTTCATTTACAATACGTTTGTCAATTTCTTTTTGGAAAATATCTCGACTATGTTCCTCACAGTGGGGGGCGGAAGAGTCCAGGATATGTCACATTGCCAGAATCACAGGGACTAGAAAACAAAAGAATGCTTTTTGCATAAACGATCAGTGACTATTCTCAATTTTTGACCCTCCTCTCCCACAAAAGGCTATAGCTTAGCATTCCAAGCTGCTCGGTCTGCCGATTCCAACGGCTTCTCCCGCCCGTCCCAGAAGAGCGGACACAACTGGAACCATTTCTCCCGGCTCGCAATCGAATGCACCGAGCGCTTGTGGCCCAGGTCGACGTACTTGCCAATGACCAGACCTTGGGAGTTCTCGTAGGATAGGATCGTCGCGCCCGTGGCCTTGGGCTCGCCCACGGCGTTGGCGGTGCGCGGGTCGTCCAGAAAAACGTAGTGGATACAGCTGGAGTACCAGGCGTTGACGCGGTGGGAGCCACGGAACGATGCGTCGCCTACGAGTGAGTGCCGGCCACGGTCGTAGTCGCCGGCGTCGTAATGGGCGCCATAGTGATCTTCCTGTTTGGTTGAGAAGGAACATATTAGAAACTGGACGATAAAATGAAGGAGTGGAAGGAGTCTCGACACCCTACGAAGAGATGAGGGGACCTACCTTTGCCCAGTACAGCTCGAAGTAAGCGAAGCGTGCGTTGTTGAAGCGCCCGAACAGGCAAAGAACGTGCGGATCAACCCACAGTTTGCGCAGGTATTCGCGATGCTGCTCCAAAGTCCCTGTCTCGTTCCACCCTGCCGCAACACGAGGGTCGTTCTGCCATGTGTTGAAGAGTTTCAGGTGCTCCGGATCTTGCCAGTCGACCACTTCCAGGGAAAAGTGCTCGTCCAGCTCCGGAATGTAGCGACTGTAGGCGATTGATCCTGGATGTGGCTTTGGGCGACGGATCGGATGACGCGTGTAGATGGGCTCCTCGGGGAACTTCATGGTGAAGTGGTAATTCTCAGGCATGATGGGGTACTGGGCCAGAGGCTCGCGTGAAGGACCATCCGTGCCGTCTCCTACGACCCAGATTGGACGAGGCCCCAAAGGAGAAGCTGCCCCTTGCCAGAACGAGCTTCGAAGGATCAGCAGCTCGTCAGTCCGTGCGTTCAAATCGTCATTGGGGCGCCATGGCTTGGGATGTTCGATGCCTAAGCCCGTGGAAAGCAGTTCGTGGCGAATGACATCCTTTCCTGCACCAGACAGGCTGAGTCTGAAGTACTCGTAGGTGGGATGGGCGAGATATATCGCATGAACAACATTCCAGATCTGACCAAGGGTGGGTGGGCTACCTCCCACCCACTCGAATGTTGTGTGAGGACTCCGAACTGCTCGTGCCCAAGCGCTGTTGTTGGAAATGGGCGGAACCTCCTCCTTGGGTTTGAACAACAGTTCCTGCCACGAGAGCGAGTCGCTATGTAACGGCTTGGGCAATGGCCGTCCCTCCGGGGGCTGACCCTTGTGTGTTAAGATGAATCTCGCCGGCTTTGTTTCCGCAACAGCGCGCACTTGATATGTGGTCAGAAACGGGTGTGGCAGCTTGACCAGAGGCCACTTGTATGAAGGGGTTGGATTATGAGCCATTCTGAAAGAATTTGAAAGTCCGAGTTCCAAATGAGATAAATGTCACAGCGACATAAAAATCATCCCCCAACAATCGTTCTCTAGTGTTAGAATCTAGAGAGAGGAGCTTGCTGGGAGAAGAAGGGATTGAAATGGCAGAGTAGGACGAAGACTCCGAGGAAGGGGAATGAACGGCATACAGCCCCCACCATCCCCAACCTGGTCCTCCATTCGTAGGCTTTTGTCGAATATGGAGCGCAGTTTGCGACTTGCTGAACGCTCTCCTTAGGCCGAGGATCGGATACCTTGGCAGACAGCGTTTCAGTGGCTACATCAACGTCCCAGAATTCGGCGGCACGTGAAGTTCTTATATACACGAGGCGAAAAGACACAACCTTCTTCCGAGAGAAGGAATCTGGTGAAGCTAAATCGACGATACTTCCTTTGAATTGCGCTTGCAGAGAAACCTGTCAACCCAGACGCAAACCCCGGAACACAAATGTCTCTCAGATCAAGGCCATTGAATTTCCAGCATTTTCAAGTCTCTTTCCCGCATGACAAAATCGTTCAGGTCACTTTGAACAGACCAGAGAAACTGAACAGCATCAACAAAGCCACGAGCCGCGAAATACAAGGGATATGGGAGCTCTTCGACCAAGATGAAAGTTTATGGGTCGGAATCATCACAGGCGTTGGCAGAGCTTTCTGTACTGGAGCAGATTTACAAGGTATGTTCGGATGCCCGGTAAGGCTCTACAACAACAAACTTTACCTGAGACTGCAACTGACAAGAATATGTCCTTGGTCAGAATGGAACGAGATGAACAAAGCTGGTGTGGTCAACGACATGTCTGCTCCTGGTCTCGCTGGGCTGCCCCGTCGAGTTGGTAAAAAGCCGATCATCGCGGCAGTGAACGGTCTGTGCATGGGAGGCGGCTTTGAGATGGTGGCCAACTGCGACCTCGTCATAGCTTGCTCCTCGGCCATTTTTTCCCTGCCAGAAGTGAAGCGTGGGATCGTCCCTGTGGCAGGCTGTCTACCACGACTGGCACGTACACTGGGGCTGCAGCGTACAACCGATCTCGTTCTGACTGGCAGAAACGTGGAGGCCAAGGAGCTTCATTACTGGGGCCTGGTTAGTCGGCTGGTGGAATCTGCCTCTGAAGTTGTCCCCGTGGCAATTCAAGTCGCCAAGGACATGTGTAGGAACAGTCCGGATGCGTTGATTGTCGGCCGGCTAGGTATTCGGCAGAGCTGGGAAACTGGTAGCGTGGAGGAAGCGGTCTCGATTCTTGCTGATCAATGGTACCCTCGCCTAATGGCTGGACCCAATTTCTCGGAGGGGATTCAGGCGTTTGTGGAAAAACGATCACCGGACTGGGTAGATTCGAAGTTGTGAGAGGGTACAGGTGATGCACGTTCCAAGACAGAAGACTCTGGTCACAGCAAGAGTGTTACCGCCGTGCAGAGTTTCGACCTGGTAGGTGGGGACATGGTCAATCATGTACATAGCAGGAATTTACTTATATCTCCACCCTTACTACCGCTCCAGGCAAATTCCCTAAGAGAAGATCATCACCGAGCTAGGTATGTCGGTAAGGGGAATATTTCACGGAATATCACTTAAGCGGACACGTATTGTAATGTCAGTTCTCTGAAATGACTGAGATACCGCGCTTGTATCAAGAACTCTTTCCCAAATTGGCGTAGCGTATTGAGCGGAGCTTGTCAAGACTGCGATCACCATTAACCCAAGCCATGTTTCCCCTTCTTGTTCCAATGTCGCAGTTTTCACAATATGGGTCGATTGGCGCAAACCTCCACTGCGCCATTAGAGGACACTCAATGGTGTCCTATGACCTTGAATGTGTATTCAAGACCGGCGGCTTCGGTTGTGCCCAACAAGTGGACACGGTGAAAGAAATGACGCATTGAAAAAGTCACAGGGGTTGCAAGACAACAGACCTACCTATCCAAACGTCAGCTGTTACTGGTGTGGCACGGCACAAACCCCCTTATCAATCTTATACATCTTATCTGATCTGATTGTTGATCGAAATTGTCGCAGTGGATAACTTTGCCACCTTCGCAGAAGCTGCCAGGGGGTGTTTACTCGCTTCAATCCACATGTCTCGAACGAGTGAATTTGATTGATCTTTTTATCGTATGGAAACATGTGGAACCGAAATCCTTCTCGGCGGTCCTTCTCGGCGGAATCTGCTCTGCTACCTGCAGGTTTTTCCCGGCCACCCAGTTGGAAGCTTAGTGTCAAATACGTGATGAAGCAAATTCTTCGGTGCAGGTGCATCTTTTCTTGCCCGGCCCGCGAACCGAGACCGGAGATCGCGTAACATTAGTCTCCAGAAGCTGCAAACTGCCTGCCTGATAGACCACGTGAGTGGGGATGATTCTATACACAATGTCAACATAACATTGACAACTGCAGATTGGGCTCTAGGGCACGAAGAGGCCGAATATAGGGACTATTGAGCATTCGTTAGCTTCCTGTTGCGATGTCTCTAGACAGCATCACAGAGACCACGGTTATCCCGCCTCCAACGGTTCCGTCCATCCTTCATGGCAATTCGGAGGTGCCTTTGTTAGATTTTACTCTCGGCGAACTGCTAGATTTCCAGTGCAAGAGGTATGGGAGTAAAGAATGCTTGGTGGTACCGTGGACGGGCTCCAGATGGACCTACAGCCGTCTCAGGGACGAAAGCATTCGACTTGCGAAAGCCCTTGTTGCTCGAGGGCTACGCGCAGGAGATCGAATCGGTATCATGGCCGGAAACTGTGAGCAATATGTCTCGGTCTTCTTCGCCTGTATGAGGCTGGGATGTATATTGGTCATTTTGAACAACACCTACACCGCATCTGAAGCATTGTATGCTCTGAAATTCACCGGTACGTTTTCTTTTTTCTTTTCACAACCTGCTATTGGAGCCACTCCTGACTCGAAGTCATAGAATGCCGAATATTGTTTGCAACCCCCCGGATCGGTCATCACGACAATGGGCAACTTCTCCACCAGCTGAGAGAGAATCCAGGCACGGTCGAGGAGATTATCATTCTACGAGGCCCGCCCGGCCATTTTACCCCCTATGCAACACTCCTAGAGACAGGGGCAATCGAATCCGATGAAATTCTCGAGGCAGCCTCAAAGACATTCAGCTGCCATGACGTTTGCAATCTCCAGTTCACCAGTGGAACGACAGGCAATCCAAAAGCTGCGATGCTGACACATCAGTAAGTAGCCGACTGGCTTCTAGCTCCTCCCGTCAAGAATATCCTACGTGGGCTATAAAGCTAACTGGTACTTCCAGCTCCTTGGTCAACAACAGCCGTTTCATTGGCGACCGCATGGCCTTGACGGATCAAGACGTGCTCTGCTGTCCGCCACCGCTTTTCCATTGCTTTGGCCTTGTCCTCGGCCTACTGGCCATCATAACCCATGGCGGAAAAGTGGTTTATCCCGCAGAGACCTTCGACGCCGTAGCGTGCCTGAGAGCCATCTCGGAGGAACGATGTACTGCCCTTCACGGTGTCCCGGCAATGTTCGATTCAATTTTCAGCCTGCCCCGACCTGAGGACTTCGATTGCTCAGCCTTACGAACCGGTATCATAGCAGGGGCTCCTGTGCCTCGCCACCTGATGGAACTTATGGTCAATGAACTCGGGATGACCGAGTTCACTAGTAGTTACGGTATGGCACGCATGTAACTCAGCCAGAAGGGCCCGTTGACAAGCTAACGCCCGGTACTATCAGGCTTAACAGAAGCTTCGCCGACTTGTTTCAACGCATTCCACAATGACCCCACGAGTCTGAAGCTCACCACCGTTGGCCAAGTCATGCCGCACGCCCATGCAAAGATCGTTGACCGACAGGGAAGAATCGTACCGGTTGGTGAGCGCGGAGAGCTCTGCATCGCCGGCTATCAACTACAGCGAGGCTATTGGAGGAATGCGGAGAAGACGAATGAGGTCATGATCCGTGACGCAGACGGTGTGCTATGGCTGCATACCGGCGACGAAGCTGTCTTTCACAGGGACAAGACGTGCACGATTACGGGTCGGTTTAAGGATATCATCATCAGGGGTAAGCAAGCCTTCTCTGAGCATGCACTCATCATCCACTCAAGAAAGCCGTGCATCTCCTCGAAAGCTCTCACTGACGAATCATCTCCTACCAGGTGGAGAAAACATCTATCCCTTAGAGATTGAGAGTCGCCTGGTCGAGCACGAGGCCATTGACCGCGCTATCGTCGTCGGTGTCAAGCATTCCAGGTACGGCGAAGTGCCGGCTGCTTTTCTCCAACGCACCAGCTCGACTCATTCAACGGCCCAACGGGAACAGAGCGTCAAAGGAGGATATACCAGTCCGATTACTCATCGTCCCAGCGACGAAAACATCCGTGAATGGGTGAGACTGAAGCTTGGCAGGCACAAGGCTCCAGCACATATTTTCTGGCTTGGAGAAGATGGTATTCCGGCCACAATACCACTGACAGGGAGTGGAAAAGTGAGAAAATTCGAGCTCGCGCAGCTGGCAGGGCAGTTGGTGACTAAAGGGAGACCGAAACTGTAGTTACCAGACATTTGCGACGAGAAAGGTTCCGCCGAAGATAGAATGTGTACTCTATGTACAGACCAAAAGAGTTGACTTTTTTAATCTCTCCCTCCCTCTCTCTCGAAATATATATATATATATCTCCCGGTTCCAAAGCCTGATCTATGCGCGCGATTCCATGTGGCCAATGTTACAGCCTTGCCGACCTCTCCTCCTCCTCCCCCTCCGTGGTCTGCTCGGTCCTCCGACGCAGGACCGACTCTGCCAGACGTCTACTTCTCTCTGCAAGAACCTGGAGCAGGCTGTCGTCATTCTGCAATTCCAGACATTAGTAGTGATGATGCAGACAGATGGGAGTCCGTCACTTACCTGGTCTCCATCATCGGCAAGAGATCCTTGAAGCCAGATCCCGCACCCTGGCGCGAGGACGCCCTTTCTAAAGTTGATGTGGTAATCGCGATCAACTGTGACACTGGGACCATCGAGCAGCGCTTTTAAAGGTTGGAGGGTTCTATGGTGGGCGTTTTGTTCGAAGCCGGTCGCGGAAATGACGGCGTCGAATGTTGTTGACTCGTTGGGATTCTCGAGACTTTGCACGAAAAGTCGCACGCGTCCGTCAACAGTTTTCTCCGCATTTATGACCTCATGCTGGAGTCTGATTTGGAATCTCCACTTGTTGCAGTCCGGCTCTTTAACACTGAAATCGTACTGGGTATCATATATCTGTCTCAAGAGGCGAGGTTCAATTGGCGGACTAGAGGTCATGGGCGAGGCTCCATTGACTTCTCTTCTCCTGATCTCGGGTGGCATATTTTGTTGTTTTGCTGAATGCGGGTGCATGATACTTTGCAATAGGCTAGATTTCGCTAGAGCATTAGAAAGCGAAACCGGTGGTGGACACCCAAGAAGCCAACTTACAATGGCGTCTCGTCATCTCCTCGAAGGACGGCGTCTTTGGTGAACCAAATGACTTCATGTTCTCCACGGATCCCATGAAGCTGATCAAATGCCTCTGCTGCGCTTTGGCCATTTCCTAGGACTGCGATACGTGCTCTCGGTTTGTCGCGTAGAAGTGTTGAGATGGCTTCCGGATACTCTGAAGAGTGCAGGACGAGATTTCGAAGGGCAGGAGTGCGGAGTACTTCTGGGACATAGGGATGCTGCGATGCAGCATAGACGACCTGCCTGGCAGTGACGGCTTTTTGTTCTCCTGTCACAGCATCCACAAAGACCACCTCCCACGCAGTGACGCTCCCCCTGCCGTCTTTCAATGGTTGCACACTGGTGACCATCTTGCCGTACTGGACTTGGGCTTGAAGGCGGGTAGCACACCATCTTAAGTAGTCGCTGAACATCTGCCTACTCGGGCGCAGCTGAGCGCTGTTCGCATATAAGACGAGTCTATTAGTTGCATGGAGGTAGTTGAGAAAGGTGAATCGAGAACGCGGATTCTCTGAGGTGATCAGGTCGTGGAGAAATGAGATCCTCAGTCTGGAGGCAGGTGTGCACCGGAGTGGCTTCCAGAATGCTTCCAATTGAGATTCCAGGAACAAGGTATCCTTGCTGAGTGCATGTCTTTCGTCCAATGCGACAGCGTTTGCGATGCCAGTGAGGTCAAAACCGACACACACCAAGTCGAGTGGTGGTGAAGCGGTGCCCTTGTTGCCATCCATGAGCGCGTCTGGATGCTGTATCATAGTTGTTGTAGTGGTGGAAGCATTGATGAGGCCTCGATCGATGACATAGGAGGATCGAGGCACTCAGAACGATTTCTTGGTCGGCCAACGACTGGGAGCGCCTGGACCATCCTCCTCTTCGTGTAGAATTGATGCAACCAAATTGTGCCTCTAACAAAAGACTCCGTTCGCCGACAATGGCGTTCCTACTCGCGATGATGGGACCATGACATGGCCCCATGGGAGAATCCGGAAAGCCGTCTCAACCTGAGATCGGTGTCATTTGAAAGATGATACAATACCAAAATTACACCCTGGTTTTACCTGTACTAACGGTCAGGCTCCACTATCCTTCACAGAGTGGAGTTCTGCGAGCGGATCAGATAACTTAATTTCCACTTGCTCAAGCAGGAGAATTTTCATCAGATAACGAATCCCAAGATCCACGTTTCCACTTTTGCAGCTTCTTTACACCTCCTAAAGTTTCATCGGTGCGTGATTCTGCATGCCACATACCAACCAGATACGGCCCTCATCGCGCCGTTCCCGCCGAGCTTACTTTCAGTGGAGCTTCTCCATGGGTTCAGCTCCAGACCCAGAGACCCATGTCAGGTCTTCGTGATCATGAAAAATTTTCATCTGATAAGATCATCGTCGTTTCATTCTGCCTCGCGTGGATCATTGGCATCGTTTTGGTGGGCACTGGATCGTCTTGTTCACTAGGAGAATGGAGTTGGAGCTTGTGCCGAGCACGACGAAAGATTTTTCTCCGACCTCGGACTTTGCATTTCACCCCAATCGGCAATGGACGTGGCGACAAGACAACGACTTGACAACGCCGGTCGATACTCCTCAGCCTCATTCGACAACATGTATATTCCCGTAGACCCCGCTGCGATGCAGACAAAAGATTCACGATCATCTGCTCTGAAGCCGTATCGCCGCAAAGTAATGACGACAGGACACAAGAGAGCGTACACGGTGTCCCTGCAGTGAAAATATGCTTCGCATTCTCGATGGAGGACTTGGCGCAATCCACCCCATCCTTGGCTTGTCTGGGAGCTCCATTTTATGGTTGCCAGCTTCCCTTCGCTTACTTCCAGAGTATCGAAGCGATATTCCACTTCCGGATAATCAAATCTTCTGTATCAGGACGTGATTAGATTTGACAGCGAAAATCCGATCATCAGTCACATAACTACAGAGCCAAGCCCCTGCCAACTCCCACGTTCCACTCTCTCAGCGTTTTTGCAATATTGGCTTCCGAATGACAAGCCCGGTGCTTCGCCTTGGATCACTGTTTCCCCTGTGTCCTGGGCGCCGAGCCGCTTGCCAGGCCGCAAGTCACGGATGAGGGTAGAAGCCCACGCCAAATGCTTGCAGTCTGGACCCTGGGCATATGTTGCCAGAGCTATGACAATTGAGCTTTTCCAGTCACGGTCTGCGCCGTGGCTCAGGCGCCTACGCGTGGTTTGACCATACGGTATCAGCCGATGCAAATGCTCACTTGAAGCCCGTGAAAATCTCAAGACAGAAAAAGCTTTTCACTCTTGGCTATCCAGGGTCATGATCATTCGAGCGTACAAGCCAAGTCAAATGAGCAAATTGACCTCAACGAAGATCTTGCTGTTGATTGGCATGTCGGAATGAATCCGACATCGGGACTCAACTTGGGCTCTGGCCATACTCGTTGTTCTCGATGTCCTGCTTGGATAAAGGGGGCTAGGCTTGATGGCATGGCATGTTGTGGGCTTATACCTAAGCCATCTGAGTGAATCCATCCATCCACGTTGAAAATCCTCGTCCACTTCAAATTCCTATTCGCATCAACACCTGGTCGTTAGAGACGCTTTCACCATGTCTGCTGCTGGAAGATTCAAGCTCAACTCGCTAAGACAGTTTCTGCGCTCAGATGGGAACAATATCGCGGAACAGAGCCAGGAAAACACAGTGTTGGAGAGTGTCGATGACAAGAATGCCGCAACTCACGCACACGAACCCGTTAACAGTGGTAATGGAAGCGATGGAATCCAACCAGAGTTCCCAGCCCAAGATGCTCAGGAAGGCGTGAGAAGAGTTGAGGCAATCACGCTGGCATGGAGTAAGAAGTCCCTCATCATCTCCTACATGTGGTACGTCCTCGTCATCGAGATGTCCGGCGACGCCCTACATCCCATCTTGCTAACTCATCGGCTGAATAGCTTCTATCTGCTGTACTTTGTCAACGCTTTTCAATTTTCCATCACGGCCAACCTTACACCATACGTGACCAGTGGATTCGAATACCACTCGCTCATCCCAGTCATCTACATCGTCTCCAGCGTGATGACGGGAGCTGCCTATCTGCCGATTGCGAAAATGTTGGATATTTGGGGTCGGCCAGAAGCATTCCTATTCATGGTCAGCCTAGGTACACTGGGCCTCATCCTGCAAGCCGCCTGTACAAACATTCAAACATTCTGCGCAGCCCAGGTATGTTAGCCGTCGAGCGGACGCCAAATTTTGGTCATGTCAGATCACTAAGATGGCTATGTAGGTCTTTACTAGCATTGGGTTCACCGGGATGATCTACTCGGTGGATGTCATGACAGCTGACACCAGCAAGTTGAAGAACCGGGGCCTTGCTTTCGCATTTACCTCTTCCCCATACATGGTCACCGCTTTTGCAGGCCCTAGTGCCTCAGAGGGCTTCTACGAAGACATCAACTGGCGTTGGGCATTTGGGACCTTTGCGATCGTCACCCCCTTCGTGGCTGCGCCGTTGTACCTCGTCATGCAGTATAACTTGCGCAAAGCGAAGAAGCAGGGATTGTTGGACAGGCCCAAGAGCGGTCGAACACTCTTTCAGAGTATCTGGTTCTACATTATTGAGTTTGACGGTAAGTAATTGTGCCAAACAACCCCCCCCCCCCCCCAACCCCCTCTCTCTGCGAGAACGGAACTCAACTTATTGACGAATTATACTACAGCTTTTGGTGTCATTCTCCTCGCGACGGGGCTGGTTCTCTTCCTCTTACCCTTTTCCCTCGCCCAATCGACAGCGGATGACTGGGGATCCGGCTCCATCATCGCAATGTTAGTCGTGGGCTTCGTGCTGCTGCTCGTATTCGCTGCCTTCGAGCGATACCTCGCACCAAAGCCTTTCATTCCTTACCAACTCCTCGTCTCGCGGACCATTCTCGGCGCTCTTCTCCTCGACGCTGTGTACCAGATCGCGTATTACTGCTGGGGCAGCTACTTCAGCTCTTTCCTGCAGGTCGTCAACAACCTGACGATCGCGCAGGCGGGCTACGTGAGCAGTACCTTCGACATCATCTCCGGGCTGTGGTTGCTGTTCGTGGGCTTTCTCATGCGCGTTACTGGTCGCTTCAAGTGGCTTCTGTTGTGTGCCGTCCCGCTGTACATTCTTGGCGTAGGTCTGATGATTCACTTCCGCCGGCCGCACACCAATATCGGGTACATCATCATGTGTCAGATCCTGATCGCCTTCGCGGGCAGCACCATGATCCTGTGCCAACAAGTCGCCGTCATGGCGGCCGCGGAGCACGGCCAGATCGCCGCCGTGCTGGCAATGCTCGGTCTTTTCGGGTACATGGGCGGAGCCGTGGGGAACAGCATCTGCGGCGCCATCTGGACGCATTCTCTGCCCGGCGCACTCCAAAGACTCCTGCCCGAGAACCTCAAGCCCGAGTGGGAGACCATCTACGGCGACTTGACCGTGCAGCTGAGCTATCCGATGGACAGCCCGGCGCGCGAGGCCATCATGGAGGCATATGGAATTGCGCAACGCAGGATGTTGATCGCCGGAACCAGTGTCATGGGCCTGGCACTTTTCTTCGTCCTGATGATCCGTAACATCAACATCTCCAAGAACGCGCAGGTCAAGGGTGTCTTATTCTAGAACGGGAAGCACACAGCGTGATGTGGTGGAGCTGTCTGGACTTGAGTGTGCGCCACCTCCGCCGCCTGCGAGGTATTATTGGTTGCGCTCGGCATTCCGTGGGACAGGCGTCTCACAAAGGGTGGATTCGTCGGCTGATGTCGTAGCCCTCTACTCACTCGTAGGCTCTATAGACAATTAAGCGCCTCTTTACGATGGTAGGGATCGATGGTAATGGCAACAATTGGCCCGGTCAATCTAGAGGTCTATTTTCTTATGACGCCGTCCGGAGCTCCCACAACCCATTCATGAGGAATTGTTGCCAAGTCTACATTTTTTAAGCTGGCCAGTCCGAATTCTCCCACGTTAGGACGTGAAGAACAGCACATATCGTGAAGCAACCCTCCTTACTCCTGCGATCTCTGTCCATGGGCGAACAAGCTGTATTGAGCGGATGACAAAGATCGGGCACGATTTAGGCGACCGAGACGAACCGCTTTGACACATGTCAGTCTCCTAAATTGTGCCAATCTTGCTCATCCATTCAAGATCCAGACTCCTATATCAACAATGGGTTTTCTTTCTATCAGTGACTCCTTGCCTTTACATGTGTCTTCTCAAGCAGTCTCCACCTTCAAAAAAATACGTAAGTGATAGGATTAAGAAACTCAATCGCTCAAAGCCGGCCTTTCGGCTCTTCCACTTCCTGCTTCAGGTACGAGTCGTGGGCGAATCTTTCGAAGAATTTCAGGCTTTCGGGGTTCATCACGGCCCCTGATGGCGTGATGACTTGGCCAGAGACGATTTGCTTGACTGCAAGCTCAATCTTCTTGCCATTGATGGTGTAAGGGATCTCCGGAACCTCGAAAATGAACTTTGGCACGTGGCGAGGACTCAACGAAGTCGAGATGGCCGAGCAGACGGAGACGATCAGGGCTTTTGTCAAATGTTTTGAGTCTTTCATCTTAACGAACAGAATCACAGCCTCGTCGTTATCTTGGGGACGACGCTGACCGACACATATGGTTTCTTCGAACTCTGTGAATTTCTCAATCGCCTGGTAGATTTCCGCCGAGCCAAATCGTACACCGGAGGGATTGAGGACACCATCGCTGGATTGTATTTCCTCGGTCAGCATATGTACCAACGATCCACTTGAGCCTGGGAAAGTTGACGAAGGAAACGGTTTCCCTCCCTCTGAAAGACTGACCTTCTGCCCAACATGGTGAAACCGCCTGTTATGGGCGACGACGAAACAAAGTCGCCTTGGGTCCAGATATTGTTTCCGAATCGCTCGAAATATGCCTTCTGATACTTAGTCTTCCCATCTCTGCCCCAGAACTCGACAGGCTCGGACGGAAATGGCTGACGGCAAACCAACTCGCCAGGCACTCCAGTATTCATAAGAGAGATGGGGTGATCTTTGGCGCTATCGAGTATGTCTATCGCCATCCCCAGGGCGGGGGCTTGAATCTCTCCCGAGTAGGCAGGACTGGTGGGATCTCCAGAGACGACTGGAGAAGAGCAAAATTAGACCTTAGAAGCATCGATTAGGATGTCATGGTGGCCCTTACGAGAACATGCCAAATCTGTGCCACCACTACCAGACACAAGATGCACTGTGTCAGGAAACCCGGCATCGTAGAACCATTCGCATACCCTTGCTGGAAGGACGGAGCCCGTCGAAGATACAGTTCGCAAGCTGCTAAGATCATTGGTTTGCTCTAAGGTGAGAGTGTCAATGTATGAAGGCCACCTTTGGGAAGCAACAGACGTACTAGGGCAAATGTTTCTCTCCTGTAGATCGGTCAAGAATCTGGCAGATGTGCCAAACAAGGATATTCTGGGGGCGATATCAGCGACTGTGGTCTGTACCGATCTCTAGGTCTTCTGCTTCATACGTACTTCAGCTTCTCCACCAGGCGAAGGGTGACTAACGGGTCCGGATACAGCGGAGAGCCATCATATACGACCACACTGCCTCCGTAGCACAGGCCGCACAGAACCATTGCCCACATGATCCATCCAGTCTGTTCTGCTGTTAGTGTTATCACTTCCGGCACGACAGAAATGTCCCTCACCGTGGTATATTGGTACACTGTATCGCCTGGGCGCACATCCAAATGAAGAAGGTAGTCTTTTTTGACTTGCATCAGGAGTCCCTTATATCACGCGTCAGTCTCCAGAGCTCTCGCGTGATGCTTTCTGATTGACTTACACACGCACTGTGAACTATACATTTGGGGGCGCCGGTCTGTGATGCTCTCAGTCAAAAGTCCATGACGTACTCGATGAAAAAGCATAAGATGTGAACTCACCGTTCCAGAAGAATATACAATAAATCCAGGGTGACTGAAAGGCAGTTGTTCAAAAGTCAGTGGACGGCCCTTTGCTGTGCTCAAGAAGCGATCCCAGGTTGTGCTGTCGGGTTGTTCCTTGGAATAGGGCTCATCGCGAATGATCAGCACCGCGCGTTTGAAATCAGCCACCTTTCGAAGCCGGCCTAGGCATTGTTCGTATTTCTCGGTCAGGGAGCGCAGCTTTCCGTTGTAATGCACAGAACTTTCGAAGAAGACAATCTTGGGCTCGATCTGCTCGAGCCGCTGCATGATGCCCTCTGTACCCATGTCTGGTGATGAAGTTGACCACAGTGCCCCAATGCTCAAGGTGGCTAGACAAGCCACAATGGTCTCGAAGCAGTTGGAAATGACGGCCGCCACACGGTCTCCCTTTTTCACACCAGCCTGCCTCAGAGCGTCCGCTATCACCGTGACCTGTTCACGTAGCTCTTGCCGCGTGATAGCTCGTACGGTCTTTGCTCCTTCAGGCACGGCGTATATAGCAATGGGATTCAAGGACTCCACATTCAACAAATGCTGCGCGAAGTTCATGCGGACTTGGGGAAAGAAATGCGACGGCGGAAACATAGCTGCGCCCTAGAATAAGGTCAGTTTATCGACACCGAGGCTTGTGGAGCATGCTTACCTGCGGCAGCACCGAGCCTTTGATGGGCAGCGCATGTTTCGCGAGGCCTTCGAATTCAAAGAGATCGGCCCAAAAGTCGGATGCTGTACGAGGGTCTATCGACCATGCATGGAGTTCTGCATAGTCCTTCAGCGCAAGTCGTCGCTTCGAGTTAACCTGGCGACGGAACTTGTCCATGTTTGTTTGCGTCGGATCAGCATTCTGCCATAGCTTGCGTGGTGCAGCAACGATGGCCATTTCGTGCTCGAGGAAATGTTATTCAAGCTCAAAGCAGTCGTCGTAGTGCTAACGCCTTCCTGAAATTACCCCTGGTAGCCCTGATAGCAGATTTATGAGCGACGAGTCGACAGAAGTCGCTCTGCAGCTACATAGTTCTGGTTGGTGGAGGTGAAATGTGTCTTGGGATCCAGTTTCCTTCTCCGGGGATATTCGGCTCGTGGATCGCACTTCATGTTGCTCCTTAAGGCGGCGGCGGGTAAGTAAGGGAGCCATCTAGTAGCTGCGGTGTCAGAGGCCGGCTTGATTTAGTCGTATGTTGTTGAGTATGGAAAGCTTTCCGGAGCATTAGAGCGAGCATTTCTGCTAGCGTCAATTTACCGTGCGAGACTACATAAGGAGCCTGTAGCCGTGTTGCTCTAGGAAGCTCTCTCTTCTTCCGAAAACTTCCAAGACAACAATGCATGTATGCACAACTCGGGGTGGGGACGTACTCGGGGCAAAAGGGCTTCTCTCCGAGCCAATCGGAGTGGGTAAGACAGTCTTCCGCTCCACGTTGGCGCCACTCCTCCGAAGCCCGAAGTCTGGGGAAGAGATTCTTGCAGAGAGGCGCATCCGGAGAAGGAAGACACCAAGGAGACTTTATCCCCAGGCCACATGAAACCATTCTAGGCCTTTTGTCATTCCCAGGATCTGATTCAAATCCTTCTGTCGCAATTCTGATGTCAATTCCATTCGATCTCAGATTCTCAGAATGACAGTGTTACGCACATTGACCTTTGTCGAGCATGAGCACATCGGGTTTGTCGCCGTGGCGTTGGGGTTTGTACGTTCAGGGTTCCCTGCACTGATGGCATTCGATGCGATATCTAACCTGGAGCTAGTTGGCTCATGTCTTCTACAAGAGATTTGAACCTACTGCCATTGGTTTCCTGCTCCAGTCCGCAGTGTTGGGCGTGCTCTTCTTCGTCTGGAGTAATTTCTCCACCAACTTTGCGGTCTTCCACATCAGGGTCTGGGCTCCGGTGAAAGCGGTTCTTTTGTATTTCTGCACGCTTGGGTAGGAACTGGGAGCCAGAGTACGCCGGGACTGTAGCATGCTAACCTGACTTAGTGTCTCGATTGCATTCTATCGGCTCTATCTCAGTCCTCTCAGCAAATTTCCGGGTGAAAAGCTGCGGGCCCTCACGAAATGGAGACACTACATCGATGCTAACCGTGGGACCACTCTTCACGTTATGATGAAGCAACATCGAGAGCTGGGCGATTTCGTCCGCATAGGTCCCAATGAAATCTCCATCGCAGATCCGAGCTTCATCCCAATCATTCATGGCAACAAGTCAAGATTTCCCAAGGGTCCGTGGTACCAGGACTTGAACTCGGACGTGGTCCAATCGCTCATCGAGATTCGCGACTTTGACAAGCATAAATCTCAGCGCAAAATCTGGGATGAGGTTTTCACACCCAGAGCTCTGAGAGTGTACGAAGGCCGTATATTGAACATCCTGGAACAGCTGATAACGCAATTCAAAGGGGCCGCGAAATCAAGAGAGCGAGTTGATCTCGCCTTGTGGTCTGAGCGTCTTTTGGTCGACACCACTGGCAAGATTGCCTTTGTAAGTCCTTCTGCATCCCCGCGAAATCATCATGACCGAGTCCAGCAGGAAGGACTCTGTGATCCTGTTCTCTGACAAGGCCAGAATGTCGACTTCCACGCGGTTCAAAATGCAAAGGGCCATTTCTATGTCGAGTTCATCCATGCAACGTTGCAGCATGTTGCTTCCCTAGCTGAAGTATCTTGGGTGAAACCGCTTTTCGCATACTTGCCACTCAAAAAGAGTCAACTTGCTCAGATCGAGCAATTCAAAACCTTTAGCGAAGAAAAGTTGTCGGAACGGATGCAAACCCAGGGCTCTGCTGAGATTGATGTCCTCGGTTTCTTGATGTCGGCCGGGGAAAGAAATCCAGCCTACAAGTTGAGCACCCATGGCCTGGCTTCCGAAACTCGGTTGGTCATCGCCGCTGGAAGCGATACCACGAGTATTGCTATCACGTACAGTCCTCCCCAGATTTGTCCTCCCCCTGCGATAAATTATACTGGAAACTGAGATTCTTTTTCATAGTTCTGCTATGTATTGGTTGCTCCTCGACAAGAAAGCATATCTAAAACTGCGACAGGAGTGTCGCACGATTTTCTCCCCAGACGAACCATTCGAGGCTGCAAGGCTTGGAGACTGGAAGCGAGCTCCGTATTTGAACGCTTGCATCAACGAAGCCCTACGACTGTTACCCTCTGGTCCGAATGGCATGCAGAGGGTAGTTAATACACCAGGTGGAATAATGACTCCTAACGGAATCAATATCCCCGAGGGCACCAAAGTCAGTGTGCCGACCTGGACAGTACACCACGATCCGCGCAACTTCGAAAAGCCATGGGATTTCATCCCGGAGCGGTGGATTGAAGGCTCCGGGTTCGAGGGTGCTCATAACACGACAGCCTTCATGCCGTTTTCATTGGGCACATATTCTTGCATCGGGAAACCGCTGGCACTACTACAGATCCGGCTGTTCTTGTATAAGTATGTTGGATATTGTCCCCAAACCCCCCTTTCAGGTCATGACGCCGGACTTCAGAAACTTTGACTAACGCTGCATCGTGCAGACTTATACCAGCGTTTGACTTCGAGCTTGCGCCGGGCTTTGACAAGAGAGCCTTCATCGAAGACACAAGAGCGTTCTTCGGATTAACAAAATTGCCATTAGTGGTGTCCGTAGCCACTGCTTCCGACTGAAAGATTCTTATTGCATAGAGAAATCAAGCATTTTAATATCTAAACTCTTGCTCATTGGCTCCCTTCAGCCTTTCCTTTGAGTGGTTCGATTCTATCCTGTCTGATAGTCACCGCTGGCCATTTCATTTGAATCATTTCCATGTAATAGCCGCATCGTACCAAGTCGACTTCTGTTCCTGCAGACGATACCAATGAAGTCAAACCAGCAGAAGGTAGTTCCCCCTGGATTTCGGAGACCCAGTCCCGGGCATTTAGGTGTCTGGATATGTGAGGAATACTCCACCTTTTCGGCACAGTAGGATCTCCCGGTTGGTCAGATTCGGTCTTGGGTTCGACGTCTTTATGTTTGCTCCGTTTCGTTCACTTCTTCCCAATGTCTGAAGTTTCTTTACCCTAATGACCAGGGATTAGAATACAGCGTGCGTCAAAGCGCCTCGTCCATACTGCCTCTGGTCCTGAAGAGGTCACAGAGCCAATAAAACATTTACAACACGTCCGTGCGAACCCTTTCCAATCCCATGACCGCTACAACTCTGAAAAAAGCCACACCCGAACTATGAATTTCGCGGCATCGAGGACCCAGCTGAAACGGAGTACGGCGGTCGCAGGGTCACTGCTATTTTGGTGGACGAACAGAAAGAGGTTGGATACCGCTTTTGACGAGGTATGTACTTGCACTCGCCTCTCTCGCCCTTCTCTCTCTATACGTAGCCTGGGACAATTGGAAGGACTACTGAAATGATATCTAACAAAATTCGGTTGCAGCGACTCTCGGCTGATCTCCAATACGACGTAGTGGTCTTGGGATCCGGCGCGTCGGGGCTGACCACCGCAGTTACCGCGGCCCAGAATGGCTTGAAGGTCCTGGTGCTCGAGAAGACGAGGTTTTTCGGTGGAACGACGGCCTATTCTGGAGGCGCTCCGTGGATTCCAGTGAACAAGTACCAGCCTACTATAGGAGTTCGAGACACCAAAACTGCCGCCGAGACGTATCTGCGCAGTGTTCTTGGTCCTACGCATTTTGCGAGTGCGGAAAAGAACATCGAAGCATATCTGAATACGGCCCCAAAGATGGTGGAATGGATGGAAGCCAATACCGCCGTCAAATTTCAAGCAACTACGCTGCCTGACTACCGGCCAAATCTTGAAGGCGCGTCCAAAGGTCGTACAATCATACCAGTCGACTTCAATGGCAGACTGCTTGGCCAGGAGTTGCGCAATGTTCGTTATACGTTACAGGGCATGAAGGCGTTTGGGTCGATGCAGGTGAGCCCCTTGGAGACGGAAATTCTGCAAAATCCCTTTGGCTCGGTATCCAACTTGGTCCACACGGCAAAGAAAGGTGCCAACTGGGTTCTTGACCTGCTCGTTTACGGAAAAGGGTCCTTCATGGTCGGTGGTAACGCTCTAGTTGGTCGTTTGCTCCTCACTGCCATCGAATCAGGAGTGACGCTGGAAACTGAAGCTGAAGTGACGGGGCCACTGATGGAAGACGACCGCGTTGTGGGGGTGCTTCTCTCCGTTGCCAATGGAGAAAAGCAGATTCCCATCAAGGCTTCCAAAGGCGTTGTCCTTGCTACTGGAGGTTTCGGCAGGTCTGAAGAAGGTAAGGAGTTTGTGCCTCAAGACTGGAGTGCTGTGCCAAAGACAAACCTGGGAGACGGGATCCGATTGGGCCTCAAGGCCGGAGGATATCTCCCACCACCCAACGAAGACAATGCCATCTACGCACCGATCTCTGTGCTTCAGTATGACGACAACCGCACGCGCTGTCTCCCGCACTTTGCGGGCGATCGGACGAAGCCGGGATCACTCATCGTGGACGAGAATGGGAAGCGTTTCGAGAACGAGTCGCGAAATTACCAGGACTTTGTCAAGAAAATGCACTCCCTCCAGATCAACAAAGCTTACTACATCGCCGACGCGGACCACCTGCGCAACTACGGGATGGGCATGGCGCTGCCATGGCCCTACTGGAACCGCAACGTCCTGCGCAAGGGCTATCTGATGAAGGCGCAAACGATCCCCGAGCTGGCCGAGACCCTCAAGATCCCAGTGGCAAACCTACAACAATCAGTGGAGGACATGAATACGTACGCAAAGACGGGCAGGGATGTTCAGTTCCATCGTGGCGAAGACGCCTACGATCAATTCTACGGCGACCCCGCCGTCAAACCGAACTCCAGCTTGGGGCCGATTCGCAAGCCGCCCTTTTATGCTCTTCCTCTGTACCCAGGGAACGTGAGCGTCATGTATGGTTTGGCCACCAACCAGAACGCTCAAGTACTGTCCAAGGAAGGCAGCGTCGTCAAGGGTCTTTACGCCGTGGGTTGCGATAATAATAGTATCATGCGAGGCCAATACCCCGGTGGAGGAAGTAGTATCGGCCCAGCCATGACCTTTGGGTATATCGCGGCACTGCATCTAGCCGGTCGGCTGGGTCAGGATTGAGTCATTGATCTTGTTGCGGTTAGAAGGTATGGACTATATAGGGCAAGTGTGAGCGAAGTCGGAATGGCGATTGTTTCCATTGGTTCTAAGTAGCGATGAATAGAACCTTTCGGTGTTCCGGGAATGGCACCTGAGGTCCATTGAAAAAGCTGAAAAACATGTGTTCTGTACCAAGGCTCAAGGCAGCTATAGCCGATCAAAAAGTATAGGTATAGACCCATTTGGAATGGCTCGCTGTCGTTGAAATCTTGAAAAGCGCGTAACGGAAACAGAGCCGCAAACCGCGGGCAAAGTATTCCCCAACTTCTCCTATAGACTTGTTCCTGTCTTTATAAAACAAAATGTCACACGATACTGTGTTTGTTTCAGAGCATGCCAGTTGCTGCCAGTGAGGCACAAGAGAAATGCCTTATATACCATGTTTTTGGGGTCCCCCCCCCCCCCCCCCCAAAAAACCCTGGCGGGCGGAGGAACCCTCTGACATGTCCACGAAGTCCACGTCACTAGTAGCTGATACGTGTTCTCGATCTCGCTTTGCACTCCTATTTCCTATCACTCATGCGCCTTGCCATGGCATACGCAGTCCTATGATGAGCAATGTTAGTAATAGTAATGCTTGGATCCATCCACTCGAGCCTTGTGCATGCACACATACCTGCATCTAGTCTCAACGTCGTACCGTTGATATAAACATTCTCGAAAATGTGCTTGACGAGCGCCGCAAAGTCCTTGCCAGGCTCTCCTGCACGTTTCGGGAAGACCACAGCGCCCTCATTTTGCGCTTGAATAGGCTGCGGAAGCCGCGCATACAGTGGTGTCTGAAACACACCGGGGGCTATGGACACCACGCGGATGCCGTACTCGGCCAAATCCCTTGCCAGTGGAAGCACGGCGCCGATGATGGCACCCTTTGAGGCGGCGTATGCGCTCATGCCCGACGTACCTTCGAACGCTACAATTGACGACACAAAGATGATTGCGCCCCGGTCATGGTCAGGGTCGGGGTCCGTGCCGTCTTGCTGCTCGCCAGATCCTGGAGCATTTGATCCCTTCTCGGTTTTTGTAGTGGTCATGGGTTTGGCCCAGCCGACCAACAGCTGTGTAGCTAGGTCTATGCTGCCGCGAACGTTGACTTGGAAGACTTTGTCCCAATTCTGAATGTTCAGCGGCGTCTGCCCGCTTTGGTCAACTGCAGGGGTCGGGATGCCAATGCCGGCTGCTGTCACCACGCCGCCGAGTGGACGCCCACTGGCTTTGGTCCATTCTTTGACAGCAGAAACAGCGGCCGCAATACTGTCGGTTGATGACACGTCTGTTTGATAGAATCGGCAACACTCTGCCGTGAGGTCCTTGACGATCTGGTCCCCAGCAGATACGTTTTGGTCCAGGATAGCGACCGAGCCACCTGACTTGATTATCCCATGCACAGCCCCGAGACCCAGGCCGGACGCACTGAGAGAGACTTGTGTCAGATACAACTGGACATACTGTATCCAAAATGAAACACAGGAAGCTGGAATATTTTTGACTCACCCACCCGAGACCACGAAGGTTCGACCTTCAATTCTTACCATCGTGCATGTATTAGCCTAGAGCACTCTATATCTAGCTGGTGAAAAGATGTATAATATATAACGTAGCGCAACAGACGTGTCGACTGTAACAATATCAATGAAGACACAACCCCTTCCTTGCATTAAACTTCGGTTGAAACTGACTCCAGCTTCGGGCCGGATACTAGCTGTAGTTCCGGGCTTCACCCAACACGGCCAACCAGAAGGCAAACCACCACGCTCGACTGTCCGAATTTCGCCAGATGTTTTTTCATATTGTACAAAGAACCTTTGTGTATATATCCTCTTCCCCTACCATGGCCTATTCCTCGCCTGCATAACTAGTGAGACCAAAATTGTGTGTTTCTCCGTCACCATTTCATGAACCGCGGACCGTGGAGGAAACAACCTTTTCATCGCCTTTTTGGTGGACGCCCGGAATTGTGGGTCAACAACCACTTCAAACGTCGGCCTCGTTAACAACATCAAGAAACGTTTCATGCGCTCTAGACTTGTTCCTTGAGCTGCCAGTAATCGAGCTGGTGATATCTCTCCTAAATTCCGAGCATGGCTACTGGACCGATTGTCTTAGTAACCGGTGCTGCCGGCGGCATCGGCTTCGAAATTGTTCGCACCTTGCTCACAGAACTTGACGGCTGCGTAGTGGCCAGCGACATCGCCACGGGGAATCTGGAGAGGTTGTGCTCAGCACATGCTGATCGGCTTGAAGTGGTTGTGGGGGATATCACTCAGGTAAGTAAGGTGCTCTAGTCTGGCAGAACCCCCAAAATAACAACTCTGTCCAAAGGAGAAAACGTCAATCGAAGCAGTAAGCCGGGCGGTCGACCGGTTTGGTGGATTGACAGGAGTCTGCCTCAATGCAGGAGTATTTGGACCGTGTCACCGATTGCATAATTCGGACCCGGAGAAATGGACGAAAGCCATCCAGGTCAACCTCATGTCGCACCTCTACACGGTAAGTTGGTACTATACAATGTACAACAAAATCAACTCCCCCTTCTCCTGACCTGGTTGGCTTGAGTTTGCTGTCTCGCTCCAACTAAACAATTCTCGACTTTTCAGTTGAAACACGCACTTCCACATCTCCGCCAGACTCACGGCAAAGTCATCTTCACCACTTCCGCCGCCGGGCAGCAGGCTCTTTTCGCGGGCTGGGGGTTCTACGGTGTGTCCAAAGCCTCCGTGGCCTTCGAAGCCAAGCAGCTCCACCTGGAAGAGCCCTCGCTGACCGTGCTGGGATTATCACCGGGCCTATGCGATACTAAAATGGTGCAAGACCTGATGAACGGGGCACGTAAGTCAAACCCTCTCCCCCCTCCCCTAAAAATCTCCGTCTCGCTCTAGTGTATCCCTGGTTGCCTGTAGGCTCTATATCACACACAAAACACCAAACACTTACCGGGTTTCCTCTGCAGACGAGGGTTGGTCGCAGGAGGATGCGGCAAATTACAGAAAGGCTTTTGCAGGGTACGAGCTGTCCAAGCCTGAAGTTGTTGGTCGGGCTTATGCATACGCCGTCACCAAGGCATCAAGGGAGGTTTCCGGGTCAGTGTTGGAATACACAGCGCCCGAGATACAAGGCCTTATTTCCAGTACATAAATATCAAGTATTCGATGTAAAACGACGAAAACAAAGGAGTCGAGACTCAGTAATTGATATCTTACAATGTGATCATCTCACTTCACGGAAGAAAAATCATTATATCAGTGACCTCCCTCACTCCCTTCTCTGCCGGAGGCCTGTCCTAATAAGAGGACTTAGTTAAGTGGTTAAATGGTTCAACCCAAACTCCTCGCACCAATCTCCACTCGCTTTTTAATCACTCTATGATCCTCTTTGCTCTCGAGTCGTCGACAAAGATCCTCCGGGTCAAAGTCTGTCCCAATAGGATTCCGCGCAAACTCCGGACTGGCCATGAACGCACTAGCTTCGGCCGCCGAGTCAAAATTATCGACCTGCGTTTCGATCCTGTTACCATCCGGGTCGGTGTAGTACATGCTTGTCGTGGGCCCGTGGTTGATGCAGACAGACGGTAGAATACCGAGAGCCTTGCGCTGCCGATACGCGAGGGCGAGATCGTCCAAGGTGTCAAATGCAAAGGCGATGTGGTCCATGCCGATCGAGCCGGGGGCCTTGTCGGGCGCGTCGGGCGTGTTGATGATGGCGATCCGGTGGTGTTCGTCGTCGTATCGGAGGAACGAGAGCGTGTCGTTCTCATAACTGGCATGTGCGCCGAGGAAGTCCTTGTAGTATTGCACCATCGTCTTGTATTTGTTGGTCCGGAACACGACGTGAACTAAGTGAGCGGGCGGTTTGGTCTGAGCCTGAGCTGGAGCTTTTTGCGCGAGAGACATGGTGTAGCTATTAACACAGCAGCTGGATGAGAGTGAAGACTGGTTTTCTTTTTTTTTTTTTTTTTCTTCCCTCGAATAGAATAACACAGAGGAAATCTTGCTTCGGGTTTCTCAGGGTAGAAGTAAGCTTTAGATATAGTAAATTAAAATCCACGGTATAGTTGAGGTATCTATATCTACCGATTTCAAAGCCCGCCTTCCGAACTTAGGTAAAGGACGAGGACTAGGCGCGGCCGAGAAATCATGTGAGTCCATATGGTCTCGTGATTCTTGGTACCAACTGAGGTTCAGTTCCGAAGAAGTGTATATACATCTCCGTTGCCCGAGCTGCAGCCAAGGTCTCCGGGTGGAAGTTGGCGGACAAAACATTCAAAGCCAGTAGTCATCCGACCCGGTCTAAGTTTGGGTCGGAGCACCTTCCCCTAAGTTTGCTGGCTACGTTATGAAAGTTCGATACTACCTTCTTCATGATACTGCCATTTAGAGAGATATTGGGAGAAAAAAAAAGAAAAGAAAAGAAAACTTCACTATTGTTAACTTGTATTCTTTGTACATAACTGGTGCGACTATAGCCGAACATGCGGAGTCTGTCTTCTTGGTCATGTTGGCCGCATGGTACAGGGTATTCTGCCATAGCCATAGAACTGCAAGCACGTTCCACAACTCCAACTACAGTCCTCCTTTCCCACCTCGTGCATCTTCAATGTTCTAGGTTCTCATTCTCTTCATCAGTGATTGAGAGTCGCAACAATTCGGTTAGTCATGTACGGCACGATGTCGCCCAAAAAGAAGGCGGCGACGATTGCCAAAACGCCGAACGGGATGCTGGTGTAAAAGATGTACTTCAGCGAATCTGCAAAGGCCCATTGGCTGCCTAGAGCCCCGGCAGCGATGATGGTCGAGTTGACCCCGTTGACACTGGTCAAACTGGCGGGATTGGTCAGGAGGGCAGTGACGAACTCCGTCGCTGAGTCGACAGGGAGTCCGGCCTGAATCGCATATGTGGCAATCTCTGCTGGAAGTTTGGCGTCAAGCTTGTTAACAAAGATGTTGTAGTAGATGGTGAATCCAATCGATCCGCCAATCGCACGGATGGCCAGTGTCAGCGCAGCGGTGGTGGCTATCATGTCGTCTGGACAAGCAATGGTCGCGATGGTTGCCGCCGGCACAATCAATCCACCAACTGCAAATCCAGCGACGACGGTTGCCGCCGTTACAAAACCTGGATTCGTTGGATTGCCAGCCGCTATACTCCCAATAAAGGCAGCTTTTTGTAACACCGTTAGCTTACTCTGATTGTGGAGATCAATGAGGGTAGAAGCGAGACTGATCATCAACTAGCAATAAAGGTCCAAGGTCAACTTACTCATTGTGATGCAAGACGCGGCTATCGACCATCTCGCATACTTGGGGAACCGCGAAATGAACCAGTTCCCAAACACAGCACCGAAAATATTAGCTGTTGGCATACCTGCACCTCTACCTCCGACCAGAATCGGGTCTGCCGGATAGACACTGCTGAAATACGTCGGGGCAAAGTTGGTAAGGGAATAGAAGTTCATGCCGGCGATGAAGGAGATGATAAAGGCCATCCGGATAACGCGACGCCGGAAGAGCTCGGGCGGCGCGATTGGGACCTTTGCGAATCGCATTTCCCATACCACGAATGCCACGAGGGCGAAGATACCGGTGATCAGGGGGGCGAGGACCGCAGCACTCTTCCACGGGTGGAGGTAGCCGCCATTCTGCAAGGCCACAAGCCTAGGAAGACACCACAGGGTTAGTCGCCGATCTATGAAGGGCATACACACGGCAAAAACTTACAATAGGGTCAAGCCTGCCAATGACAAGAGCCCGCCAATGTAATCGATGTCTCTGATGATGTCCCGTCGACGCAAACCGACCAGTCTCGAATGCTTGGACGGAAAGTATAGCAATGCGACTCCGACAAGTGCGATACCTTGGTATATGCTGGCCTCTAGTTGTTAGCATAGAAGGAAGTGGTGGAAGAGTACGCTGTTATTGCATACCAGACAATCCAGAATCCCCATCTCCAGGTAGCCCTTGTAGCTAGGAGCTGACAGTATAGAACATATGGCCCGAGGGGGGTTGCTATGGCGGTCATAATTGCCACACTGTAGCCCCTTGCTCGAATGGGAACAACTTCGGTGATACTGGATGATGAATGTCAGCTTTCTTTGTCTCTTGCATTTCGGCATTGGCTCGTCCTGACCCTGCAAGAGCTGACAGTTCGGCGATACCTGCGCCAATGCCACAAAGTGTCATGGCTACCACGGCTTGGCCAAAGCTGTGGGCGGTGCCCATGATGATCGAGCCAACTATGACCAACACCGTCGAAGCCAAAGCAATGGGGCGCCGGCCGAAGATATCTTGAAGATAGCCGGTGAAGGGGATGGGAATTGCTGCTGAAAGGGTGTATGCCACAGGTAACCAGGAACTCGTGGTTGAGCCTCCGATGTCCTCGATAATGTAACTGGTACCCCCAGCACAGAAGTAGAGCGGCATCTGCGAGCCTGGCAGAATCGTTAGCATGATGTTTTCGTCACTAACTGATGCGGGACATGATACATACCAGTGTAGACGAAACAGAGCGAGAGGTAGGCCACAAAGGCACGAACCGACCAGTCGAGTTTCCCATCCGAGTCGTCGCCTTTGATGACCACGTTGTGCTCATGCTCGCCGTCTTTGTCCTTGGTCGTCGTTTCAAGCTGTTGTTCCATTGTTCCCACCTCACTTGCTTGCTTTGACAGCTTTTCTTCCATCATGGAGTTGCTTGAGTGCTATGTTTGAAAGTTGAGGGGAGTGTTTGCCAGGGATAGTTTCCACAGAGATGCATGCATGAGGATAGGCATCACCTGAAGAGATATTGGACCGTCAATAAAGACGTAGACCTGCGCTAGAGGGACCCGGGCCCCGAACCATATCAAATTATGCTCGAGGCTTTCGAAGGTCCAGTCTCGGAGAAGACACCTCCTCCGGCTGCTGTCTACTTTGGGGCCACGGGGCACCGAGCCAGTCAGCGATTCGAGCTGGTAGAGAAATTTTGACCAGGTGGGGCGAGTTCCAGCCGAGGCCATCCAGCCGAGCTCCGAAGAGGTCTTCTTTTTATACATTGGCAGAGATGAAGTCGATGTGCATCCAGGAACATTCCGGATTTAAGTACGAAGGTGTAAGTACTAAGGGGGCGGTGCCTTTTGGCGTGTGTTGGCTTCGCAAGTCCATGCTGTGTTTTGGCGGTGCAGTACGTGCGCTCCAGGGTAATTCCAGGGTCATCTAGGTGTAGATGTCCAGCTACACTTAGTCTAGTCAGCAGTCCTCGGGTGCCTTACCCCAGACTAACAGGTAAAGACCCGTGCAGGTGCCCCAGGGCTTAGTGAATCCCAGGGAGCCTTACGCCTAGGTCATGATTACTACTCGTTGCCACTCCCACTGGGTGCCCACCACCTGGGTGGGTGCCACTACCAGCACCTGATGAGTCTAGGCCACTTGCCCCTCCATCCCCCATCATCCGCTAGTTAAGTGGCAAGTTGCAACCTCACAATCTTTCTTCCATCTGCCAATGTGCCAAACAATTCCAAAATCATTCCACTATATCTGTAAAGCGTTATTTTACAGGTAGTTAGCTCTACCAAACAACATATCGCTCCCCCTTCCCCCTCTCAACTCTTCCAACGTGGACGGTATCATACAACCGTCGCTGGATCTTCCTCTGTAAAGCGCCAAAGGCATAGCCTCGGCACAATGCCAGTTGCCAAAGAAGCAGTCCCCAAGTCTACGCTGGCATGCGATTACTGTCGGCTGAAGAAGGTCAGATGTACTGGTATCTCTACCCGGCTTCTGGTTATTCTGTCACCTGGACTAACAGGTATAGGACAAGCACCGTGTCGAAATTGTGAGGTAAGAAACATCCTCATCACTCCAGAATGGGATTCAGACGGGTAAATAGAACGGCTCATGATTTCCCAAGTCTCATGGCGAGGTGTGCCATTTTACTCCCTCCAACAGGAAGATCCAAAGGAAGCCACGAGAAGCGAAAGAAGTCCAACGGCTTCTCCAGGATCGACTCGAGAAGGCAGAAGACCTTTTACGCCAGGCTGGCATCGTTGTGCCTGCCACGCAACCCTCCTCCTCTTCCTCAACGGAGGCTCAGAGTGGCAGTACTTGGACGGCAAATGTGTTCTCGGAGCCTCGAACCCTGGATGCAGAGTATGAGCGCTCACAACTACCGGGCAGCGAGACATGTATGGGCACTGATCGACCGTCTGGCGTGGGATCCATATCGACTCAGACCCAGACCCAGACCCGGAATCAATTCGCTAGCAATCTTGCATCACCTTTCCAGCACTCACAGATACCATTTGGTAACTCAACTTCCGACGACAGAGGCACGAGAGATGCGACGCTGACTCCACATGGTCATATCGCTGTTGCTTCGAGCTATACAAACACATATCAACCTTCAGCCACCCCGCCCGATACGCGGCAGGGGAATCCGACCCTCCGTCCCCTCGAATTCCAAGGGACGCCCAGTAGCACAGAGGCACTTCAAGTTCATGGTGCCACAACGTCAGTACACGACGGAAACGAGCCAGCGGTTAGTGATCTCGGAGTGGGTGGATATATGCCACACAAGCTAACACTGCTACTAGAGCCCAGTGGAAGAACTTCACGGTCTCTTGCCTCCCCCTTCCATACCAGCGATTGCCCACTAACATCCACAGGACCTGGATCCTATCTGTCGATATGCAGCAATCCTGCGGCAGAATGGGTGTCCAAGCAGATTGGCGTCTCGGGCTTCACAGACAGTGCCGCATCGCTCACGAGTACGGTATATCGCGACTTGAAGATGCAAACGTCCATGCAACGTGGGAGAGTCCCGGAACCGGACCTCGCATGTGCCAGAGATTATGCCGCAGGTGCGTGGGAACTTTTCCCTCGTTATTGTCTTTAGTTGGCTCACTGCTAATGAAGGCTTCCTCAGCATATTTCGACCATGCCTTCGAATCGGCCTTTGATATCGTTGATCGAGCGTCTTTCGAAGCGCGCCTAACCGCTCAAATTCTGGGTTCTGCGTCTGGGGACGATCCAGCATGGTACGCTCTGCGCAATGTCGTCTATGCATTTGGCTGCAGAGCGTCCACCTATAGAGAGACAGTGCCAGAGTCATGGGCGGAGGCGCAAAGGAAATCCTGGCAGTACTTTGAAAATGCTCTCTCAGTTCACACCGAGCTGGTTTACTTTCGATCGAATCTTTCCGCGGTGCAAGCGCTCTTAGCCATGGTAGGTTGTGCATGTCGCCCACAAGGCTGCAAGGATGAAAACCATTGACTCTGTCGTTGCAGTCCCTCTTTGTTGAAGGAATGGGCAATCCGAAATTGGAATATATGCTCATCAGTACCACAGTACGCCTGGCTCAGTCCAAGGGGCTCCATCTACAGCCGCCCGCGACGACCAAACTCTCAGCGGCTGAGATAGCACTTCGAAGCCGGCTGTTCTGGACCATGTACTTCTATGAGAAACATATTGCATACCGAGCTTGCCGCCCATCAGTATGTTTTGCGCCTTGGCTATCTGCCCCTCCCCTCCTTTGTCTCTCCCCTCCTGGTCGAGGTTTGAGTATACGGCTCACAAATTCCATCAGATGATCAACGACGATCACATTGACTGCCAGTTTCCTGAACCCGTTGATGGACAGGCTTCGATTAAAACAGAATTCTTCCACCATGTTATCCGCCATGCACAAATCTCATCTTCCATCATTGATCAACTGACCGCGGCAAAAGCTCGTCGACGGAAACCCAGCAAAACAATCGAGACCGTCAACGAAATTCACCAAAGACTCAAGTCCTGGTACGACACAGTGCCAGCGACTTTACGATTCCGACGCTCGCAGCCAGTCCTAGCTTCTCCAGACCTACAGATGAGTCACATCACTTATCTACACCTGGCATACCACGGAAGTTTGGCAGCAATACATTCAGTGTTCGCCTACCCCTGGGAATTGACACGGCTGGAGGCTGGCTCAGATGTCGACCTGAATCCACAGATCGATGCAAGCACACAAATCCTTGCCGAAGCCGCCCGAAACATCATACTGACCACGAAATATCTGCATCTTTCCGCGGCAGCTCCAGCGTGGTGAGTGGCGTTTTACCAGTTCCTTTCCCCCCTCTCCCTTTTTCTTGCGCTTCCTATTTTTTTTTCTAACAATGTACTACTATGAAGGGAACTCTTCTTGTATCCTATTGTAGGCATGATCAACCTGTTCGTCTACATTCTCAAATATCCCACTCGGTCCTCTGTCCCTTCCGATCTGGGTCTACTGCAAATGGCTGCCGGGTACTTCGGATACTTAGACTACGCTACGACATCGACTAAGCGGTTCCCCTTCACAAAGGACATTGTAAAACTTGCTCAGAATGCTACGGAAAGAGCGCAGGGCTCACACAGAGGCGGCAGTGAAGTCCTGCCTGCATTGACAGCCGGACTCGAAACCAACGGCAACGACGGGATGGATCTATGTTCATGGGACGAGGTAAGCTTCTTTCTTTCTTTTTACAGAGCACATACATCAGTCGCCGTTTTCTTGGTCATGGTTTCAATGCTAACCGTTTTCTATTCTTGCTTACAGGAATTTGGAGATTTTGATGTCAACGAAATAGGCCTGGAAAATTTGGTCTGCTTCCTGCCTTCCCTGACTCAAGTCTCGTCAATGGCAATGGACACTTTGCCGGATGGCTCGATCGACTTTTCCATCAGCAAGTAGTAGGTAGACCATTCAATTCTGGTGTTCGATATTCCACCCACAGAAAGTTCAATCTTGTAATAGTTGTCATATGACTATCTAGGATGGTCGAATAAGCCTCAAATTTCGAGAGGGCATAGGCGAATCATCCTTGCGTTCTGGCCTCGTGGTCCGCGTTGTCAATGTCCGATATTTGCTGCGGAAGATTTCCAGTGGTCTGGTCTGCAGTCAATTAAGGACCAACATCCTTCCACTGCCACTTGATGACTTTGCCAATATACATATACCCACTCCTACTCGGAACTGCACGTACCCGTGGGCACTAGGTAGGCTGTTGCTTGCCTTCCTGCACGGTTCAGTTGCCAGAGACCCGCACTCGAATGAATTCGGTTGTCTCAACCGACTTGGACCCGTGCATGTTTCTGTGAATCTGGAGAGGATCTCGGGGCTCGGAGGGCTCGGAAGAGTCGGAGGTCAGCCACTCCGGCTTCCGGGAGCTTGTGGGCCGGAGTGGCTGAGGACCCCCCCTTCTTTGTGTTTTTTTCATTTTTTGCAGATTGATTCGAGGGTGCTCGAGGAGGTCATTCACTGTAGGAGACTTTTTGTCACTTGGTTCTTTCAGGTGTAAACTGAATGTCTACTCGTGACTAGCCGAACCCTCACTAAGCTCCCGGATTCTACTGATGAGGTGATGGTCCCAATCCAACAGGGGCCGTTACAAACACAAAACTTGCCATTTTTACTTTTTACTTTGTAGCTCTAGCTTGCTCTCGGTACTCAGTGATCTTGTCGAGCGTCTTGAGAACAGAAGCGCCGAGCCATTCGGGTCTCGTGCGAGTCAGTCCCTCCTCGATGTCCCAGGCTTTCCCTCCTTCGACGTACAGGATCTTACCATTCCACTCCTGACCAATACACAATCCAGCCAGGACCTTTGCCACGTCGTGTGATGAGTTGACAGGGAGCTGAAGAGACTCA